TCAGCATTTTCCCTTTTTGAAGTCTGTCTGATTCCACCTGCCCATTTTGGACCCAGATTTTGCCCTGGAAATGCTATTTTACATTATATGCCCCAAGATGGCTCTTTGGTGCTTGCAAAAGGAAGAAACGAAACCAAGAGTGGGACTTGTTCCTTGTAGAGAGAAGCAGCTGACAGCAGACAGGGCTTTGCTAAAGCTTTAACACCTACGGGTTTGTCTCTCCTTGCTCAACCCAACCTTCCCTTTCTCTCTTTCACCCTTTCTCAAGATCTGGGATACGCAAATTGCTCTTTCTTGAGTTCAAACTATCATAAATCAGAATCACAGAACGGTTTGGGTTGAAGGGACCTTAAAGCTCTTCCAGTTCCAACCCCAACCCCTTCCACTGGAGCAGCTTGCTCCAAGCCCCTGTGTCCAACCTGCCCTTGAACACTGCCAGGGATGGGGCAGCCACAGCTTCTCTGGGCACCCTGTGCCAGCGCCTCAGCACCCTCCCAGGACAGGTTAAAGCCTTCATGGGGGTTGTGGGGAACCTCCTTCTACAGCCAAACATGAAAAGAAAGTGCATGTCACACGGATTCCCACCAGAGATCATCCAGATCCCCTGGCAGTGCACACTGGGAGCAAATCCCCACAATCTGGGCACCATTTTGGGTTCCAACCCCTTCCAGAGCCACATCCTCCCCTTTCCTTCTCTCTCCAGCAGTAAAACCATTCACAGGAGCTGCAGGACACGGTGCGACGCTGCGGATGAGCCCCCTCCATCCTCCTCCTCCTGCTGTCAGCTCTGCCTCTCGCACCTCCTCATCTCCCTGTTCAATACCAGCCCCACAGCCACAGCCTGGCTGACAGCGAGAGATGGATGGGGCTGAGCCTGCTCCGCAGGGCATGGGATATGTGTATGGATGTGTAGGGATGTGATGGACATAGGGGGATGTGCACGGATATGGTCCCTCCTTGCTTTGCATCAGTCCTGGTCCCAAATCCTCGCACTGCTCACACAGCCCCTGTGGCCACCCTGCAGCACATGGAGGGCAGAGGCTCTCCTCTCCGCTATGATGGACATAAGAAGGATTTAAGCACTGATCGCAAAGAAGTGAAAGCTGAGTCCCAGTTTGGATCCAGCTCCATGCAGAGCAGGGAGGGATTTCAGCCCTTGCCCAGTGCCTCCATCACCAGGGTACCACCAGGGGCAGAAGCCATCAGCATCCATATGAGAATGTCCCTTGTTTCCTGCAGAGCCCCAGCATCCTTCATCCTGCCCCATGGTGTGCAGTGAGGTGCTGGAGTTTGCAGTTTGAAGGGGACTATGGAGCAGCCCTTTTGCTCTCTGCCCCCTCCAGCCTTTATCCCTGTGTCAGTGACCTCCCTGCACACATTCCTGGTCCCCAAGGTGACAGCTTCTCCCCATCCATCTCCTGCTGTCAGGCTGGGATTGAGCATGGAGGTGGGAGGTGTGGGACAAGATGGTGAGGTTCCGGGTGGCAGCACAGAGACAGGACCAGCATTTGGAATGGGTGCAAGGGGACAGGGGACCACATTGCACATTTCTCTTCCCTATTCCAGAGCTGCCGAGGCTCTGCACAAGCAGCCACAACGCTGTGGATGCTGCAACACTTCCCTGTGCTTTTTAATATCAGGTGTTGATGGCTGAGCTTATGGTACCCAGGGGGACTTTGACCAGGAGAGGGAGTCACAGCAACCCCTATGTCCCTTCAATCGGATGTATGACATGAAGGAGACCCCAAGAGTTGACCCTTCCCTGCCCAATGTACCCCGAGATCCATCTGAGGACCAGCAGTGGTCCCAGCAGTCCCATGGCCACCGCTCACCTCCCGTCCATCATCACCCTCACATCAAGGCACGCAGGCAGGTGGAGAAGGGGCCGTGCTCCAGCCCCTGGGGACCACTGCGCTGTCTCCACCCCCAAACTGGGGCATAAAACCCCTGGCAGGATGCAGGGGCCAGCCCAGAGCTGAAGCTGCCTTGCTCCATTGGGGTCCCCACTGCCACCATGCCAAGGGATGGAGACGCGGATGCTGCGCCCATGGCAGGTAAAACCCCCCCGTGGCCATGCTCCCCTGTGTCCCCCAGAGTGGTTTTGGGGTGCGGGGAGGTCCTCCAGCCCCACAATAACAGGGCAGGAATGGGGAGAGGGATAAACCCCACTGTGGAATGGATGGCGATTTGGGGGGGGGGAGGTGGTGGTGCATGGGCTCTGCTCCCGTACGTGAGGTGCAGGATGAGGATCCATCAACACCCCCCTTTATCCCTCCACAGCCTTCCTGGGGGGTCCGGGCGAGGGGCCCCTGTGCACCCCCAGCCTGGGGTGGGCAGCGGAGGGGCCGGGGAGCGGAGGCAAGAACCGGCGCGTGTCCCAGGCCACGGCACGGCTGGAGATGGGCAGCCTCTGGGAGGAGTTCAACCGCCTGGGCACCGAGATGATCGTCACCAAGGCGGGGAGGTGAGGACCACAATGGGGCAAAGGGGGCAGGAGGGCACCATCAATGGGGGGGGGGGGCACCCCCTTCCCATCCCCTGTCCTCGCAGGAGGATGTTCCCCACCTTCCAAGTGAAGCTGTCGGGGCTGGACCCGCTCTCCGACTACGTCCTGCTCATGGACTTCATCCCGCTGGATGACAAGAGATACAGGTGGGGATGACGGGGCGATGGGGATGCTGTGGGGCTGGGTCTGACCCCCCCATCCCTTCAGGTACGCCTTCCACAGCTCCTCCTGGCTGGCAGCAGGACGGGCAGAGCCGGCAGCACCCGGCCGGGTCCACTTCCACCCCGATTCCCCAGCCAAGGGCGCGCAGTGGATGCGGCAGATCGTCTCCTTCGACAAGCTCAAGTTGACCAACAACCTCTTGGATGACAACGGCCACGTGAGGACCCGGTCCTGGGGTGGGGAACGCGTCCCTCCATGGGGAGGAGGGTGGGGGGTCCTGCCCATCTCCCCTCTCCGTGTTCCCCCTCCCTAGATCATCCTCAACTCCATGCACCGCTACCAGCCCCGCTTCCACGTGGTGCTGGTGGACCCGCGCCGGGACAGCGAGCGCTTCGCCCACCAGAACTTCAAGTCCTTCAGCTTCCCCGAAACCCAGTTCATGGCGGTGACGGCTTATCAGAACCACCGGGTGAGCCCCGGGGTGGGGGGGGGACATCGGGGTAACCCCCCCACCACCACCACCCAGGGACCCCCCGTGACCCCAATCCCAATCCATAGATCACCCAGTTGAAGATCGCCAGCAACCCCTTCGCCAAGGGCTTTCGGGATGGGGACCCTGAGCCATGGTAAGACCCAACCCCGGCGCCACGATGAGGGGCCCCATGGCACCCCCCTGAGCCCCGCATCTCTCTTGCAGGTGTGGGGTGCCAGCAGGGTCCCTGTTGGGTGCAATGGGACCCCGGGCCCGGGCCACGTTGCTGCCCTCCCACCCCGAGAAGCAGGACAAAGGTAGGGGGGGAAGAGAAGGGGCTGAGCCTCTGGTGCTGTCTCTGCCCCCTCCAGGGGCTCCCCACGGCCGTGGGGCTCTGGCCACTGCTGGACCCCCACAGCCAGCCCCAACAGTGCCTGCCCCCGGCTTCCCTGAGCTGCCCGTGCCCCCCTTCCAGCCCCTCGCCTGCCCCCCAAGTGTCCTTGTGGGGTCCAAGCCCCACGCTCTGCCCTACCCTTTGCTCAGCACCTACAGCACCACCGCAGCCCCCACCTTTGGCTATGGGCAGCAGTGATGGGGGGCACCCCCCAAACCCCTCGGGACCCCCAGCACAGCAGAAGGAACGGAGATGCCGAGCTGGGGACAAGCCACGGGGCTTTATTCACTGCAAGCAAGGGATGGGAGGCTGCAGCCAGACCCCCAACTGCCCCCCATCTGAGCTCCCATCAGTGGGGCAGGGCTTTGGCTCCAAACCTCCAGCATCCACACGGCTATTCCCAAGAGCCGGGCGCGAAGGCGAAGGGGCAGAGCTTGTATCCAGCACCCACATAGAACTTGTTCTGGAATTCCACCCTGCCGAGGAGAGGGGCCGGGTGAGGAGCAGCGCCGGGGGGACCCCATCCCAGCAGCACCCCCCCCCCGTCACCGGGCTCACCAGTGCAGGCGCAGGGCGTGGAGGAAGGCAGAGAGCCCCTCCATCACCAGCAGGATGGCCACGGTCAGCACGGCGAAGGCGGCGAAGACGGGTACCAGCACGGCGCCGCCGGCGTAGCTCAGGCGCACGAAGCCATTGCGCATCACCATGGTCCACAGCACCTCCGAGAGCTCTGTGGGGCACAGAGGGGGTGAGGAGGGATGGGGGGGGGTGTCTGAGGCTCGGGGGACACGGGGACACTCACGGGCATGGGCCAGGCTGAGCGCCCAGAGCCGCAGGTAGGATGCGGTGTTGGAGACGCAGCCCAGGCAGTACTCGATGGTGTGGATGGCCTGGTGCATGAAGAGCTCGGCGAAGTCCAGGTGCTGCAGGGATGGAGGGGACACGGGATGAAGGTGAGGACATGGGATATCAGTGAGGGATGTGGGATATCAGTGAGGGATGTGGGATATCAGTGAGGATGTGGGATATCAGTGAGGGACGTGGGATATCAGTGAGGGACGTGGGATATCAGTGAGGGATGTGGGATATCAGTGAGGGACGTGGGATATCAGCGAGGGATGTGGGATATCAGTGAGGGATGTGGGATATCAGCGAGGGATGTGGGATATCAGTGAGGGATGTGGGATATCAGTGAGGGATGTGGGATATCAGTGAGGATGTGGGATATCAGCGAGGGATATGGGATATCAGCGAGGGATATGGGATATCAGTGAGGGATGTGGGATATCAGTGAGGGATGTGGGATATCAGTGAGGACATGGGATATCAGCGAGGGATGTGGGATATCAGTGAGGGATATGGGATATCAGTGAGGGATGTGGGATATCAGTGAGGACATGGGATATCAGTGAGGGATGTGGGATATCAGTGAGGGATGTGGGATATCAGCGAGGGATGTGGGACATCAGCGAGGGATGTGGGATATCAGTGAGGGATGTGGGACATCAATGAGGGACATGAGACATCAGTGAGGGACACGGGACAAAGGTGAGGACATGGGACATCAATGAGGGATATGGGACATCAGTGAGGGACATGGGACATCAATGAGGGACATGGGACATCAGTGAGGGACCAATGGTAAGGGACGTGGGATATCAGTGAGGGACATGGGACACCAAGGAGGGACATGGGACGTCAGTGAGGGACCAATGGTAAGGGATGTGGGATATCAGTGAGGGACGTGGGATATCAGTGAGGGACATGGGACATCAATGAGGGACATGAAACATCAGTAAGGGACGTGGGACACGTCACAGCAGCGAGGGCTGTGGGGCATCACCAAGGGACACAGGGCGTCAGTGAAGGAGACCGGACGGCGGTGAGTGACACGGGACAACGAGGAGGATGCAGGACATGAGTGAGGGACGCGGCCACCCCAACCCCACCACCTGACCCCACCAGCCCGGTGCCCCTCACCTCAGCGTCAGGGCTGTGCCCGCCGCTCTCCACATCCTCCACGGTGACGTTGACGGAGTTCCCGGCCTCCTGCCCCTCCAGCAGCGGCTCCTGCTCGCCGGTGCCCACCGCCTGCCCCGGGACAGCACCGGTGGTGAGACCCCGCGGCGCCCACCCCGCTGAGCCCCTCACCGTGGCCCCGGCCTCACCGCGGGGTGCCCCGGCCTTGGCTTGCGCCGCCGGCACCACAGGTAGAGCGGGGTCCCCAAGAGCAGGACGGGCACCGACGCCAACGCCAGCACCACCAGCACGGTCTGCACCGGCACCTGCGGCACACGGGACACGGCTTTAGGGCCCCAGCCAGGCCAGACCCATATTGCCCCCAGTGTGGGGAAGGGGATGGGTAAGGGGGTGCCCCATCTCTGTTACCTGTCCTGGGTAGAGCGGGAGGTTCTCGGCGTTGGAGGTGAAGAGGAACATGTCGATGAAGTGGATGAGGATGCTGGGGGCCACCAGGGAGTCGGCGGCGCTGAACTTGATCCACTTGTAGAAGATGAGGAAGACGAGGTAGCCAAAGAGAGCCAGGAGGAAAATCATCTCGGGCAGGAGCTCCAGCACCAGCCGGTGCCGCTGCTTGAAGTGCCTGGGCAGGGGGACGTGACCCACGCTCAGCATCACGGGTCCTGGGCTCCCAGTGTGGGGATACAGGACACAGAGATGCTGCGAGGGCTGGAGCAGCTCTGCTCTGGAGCCAGATGGCCCCATGCACTCACCCAGCACCCTAAGCATGACCGTGGGCGGCCAGCACCCATGGGTGCAGCCATGAGGACTCACAGATGGTTGAAGACCCCCAGCAGGACACCGAAGCCCATGTGCACGATGCCCAGCACCACGGACATCTTCATCTTGAAGGAGTTGAGGAAGTTGAGGTGGTTGGTGGCCAAACTCCAGATCTACCATGGACGAGGTGGGTGAGACTCCGGGGCCACCCCACCGAGGGTCCCACCCCATCCTCTCCCCCACGGGACACTCACTGGGTCTATCCCAAAGGGATAAGGCCCTTGGAAGACGCCGGTGACGTTGGGGTCCAGGGTGAGGAGCGGGTGGGTGGCGAGGTAGGCAGAGCTGTGGGCAGAGCAGGGGCAGGGGGGGGGGTCAGTGGAGGCAGGACCCCAGCAGGGCTCACAGCGGGCTTTGGGGTCCCACCTCCAGGAGGAGTGGTTGGCCATGGTGGCCACGCTCCAGGCGGAGGGGAAGATGACGGTGGCTTTGCTGAAGCACTCGTTGTAGATGAAGCCGGTGTAGATGGAGAAGGCCCCCATGAGCAGGATGAGGTAGCGGCCCTCGAAGAACGTCAGCCAGATCTGGTGGGGGAAATGTGGCGCCGGTGTCCCGTAACAGCAGCCCTGCCCCACACCATCCCCATCCCATACCACCAACACCCCATCCCATGCCCCTAGAGCCCATCCTATGCCTTCAACCCCATCCCATGCATCCAAGCCCCATCCCATACCACCAACTTCATCCCATGTCTCCAAGCATTTCCCATACCATCAACTCCGTCCCATACCACCATGTCCCACACCAACAATCCCATCCCATGCCCCCAACCATGTCCTACACCTGTAAGTCCATCCCATACCACCAACTTCATCCCATGTCTCCAAGCATTTCCCATAGCACCAACCCCATCCCACAGCACCACCATCATCCCATGTCTCCAAGCCCATCCCATACCACCAACCCCATCCCATACCACCATGTCCCACACCACCAACGCCACCCCATGCTCCCAACCGTGTCCTACACCTGCAAGCCCATCCTGTACCACCAACCCCATCCCATACCACCATGTCCCACACCACCAATCCCATCCCATGCCCCCATACATGTCCTACACCTGCAAGCCCATCTCATACCACCAACCCCATCCCATACCACCATGTCCCACACCACCAATCCATCCCATGCCCCCATACATGTCCTACACCTGCAAGCCCATCCCATACCACCAACCCCATCCCATACCACCATGTCCCACACCACCAATCCCATCCCATGCCCCAACCATGTCCTACACCTGCAAGGCCATTCCATACCACCAACCCCATCCCATACCACCATGTCCCACACCACCAATCCCACCCCATGCTCCCAACCATGTCCTACACCTCCAAGCCCATCCCATGCCTCCAGTCCCAGCCCATGCCCCTAACCATGTCCTACATCTCCAAGCCCATCCTATACCTTCAATCCCACCCCATGCTCCCAACCATGTCCTACACCTCCAAGCCCATCCCAAGCCTCCAATCCCACCCCATGCCCCCAGCCATGTCCTACACCTCCAAGCCCATCCTATGCCTCCAAGCCCATCCCACACCTCCAAGCTCATCCCATACTTCCAAGCCTGGCCCCCCCATCGGGTGCCACTGACCTCGTTGCTGGCCTGCCGCAGGCTGGGGCTGTTCTCGTACAGCACCATCCAGAGAGCGAAGAGGAACATGATGAGCCCGTGCCCCACGTCCCCAAACATGATGGCGAAGATGAAGGGGAAGGTGATGATGGCGTAGGGTGCTGTGGCGCACAGGGAACGTGTCATATGGGCCTCGTAGGGCCCCATCATCCAAACCTGGCCCATACAGGGGACGGGGGGACAGGGATGGGGGGCTTACCGGGGTTCACCTCCTGGTAACTGGCCACCCCATAGGCATCCACGATGCTCTGGAAGCCGGCGGTGAACTTGTTGGTGCGGATGAGGGTGGGGGGACTCTCGGTGGTGGGGATGCGCTGCACGAAGCACTCCACGCTCGAGCCGCTCTTGTACTGTGGGGAGAGCACCCAGGGCATGACCCACAGCACCCTCCCCCCGGCTGGAACCCACCCCAACCAGCGTGGGACATGGGGACGCCTCTGCAATGGAGATACGGGGACACCGAGCATCCCCTGGCATGAGGACATGGGGACAACCAACCCCAACACAAGGACATGGGGACAACAACCAACCCCAACACAAGGACATGGGGACAACAACCAACCCCAACACAAGGACCTGGGGACACCAAGCGAGCTCCAGCACGAGACATGGGGACACCAAGGACCCCAACACAAGGACATGGGGACAACAACCAACCCCAACACAAGGACATGGGGACACCAAGCGAGCTCCAGCACGAGACATGGGGACACCAAGTGGGGACAACAACCAACCCCAACACAAGGACATGGGGACACCAAGCGAGCTCCAGCACGAGACATGGGGACACCAAGGACCCCAACACAAGGACATGGGGACACCTCTGGAAAGGAGATACAGGGACACCGAGCATCCCCTGGCATGAGGACATGGGGACAACAACCAACCCCAACACAAGGACATGGGGACACAAAGCGAGCTCCAGCAAGAGACATGGGGACACCAAGGACCCCAACACAAGGACATGGGGACACCAAGTACCCCAACACAAGGACATGGGGACACCAAGCAAACCCCAACACAAGGACATGGGGACACCAAGCACCCCAACACAAGGACATGGGGACATCAAGTACCTCAACACAAGGACATGGGGACATCAAGCAAACCCCAACACAAGGACATGGGGACATCAAGTACCTCAACACAAGGACATGGGGACACCAAGTACCTCAACACAAGGACATGGGGACATCAAGTACCTCAACACAAGGACATGGGGACATCAAGCAAACCCCAACACAAGGACATGGGGACACCAAGTACCTCAACACAAGGACATGGGGACACCAAGTACCCCAACACAAGGACATGGGGACACCAAGCAAACCCCAACACAAGGACATGGGGACACCAAGTACCTCAACACAAGGACCTGAGAACACCAAGTACCTCAACACAAGGACCTGGGGACACCAAGCACCCCAACCCAAGGACCTGGGGTCACCAACCAACGCACCGATCCCTGGCGCAGCGCGTCCTGCACTTGGGCGAGGTCCCTCACGGGGCACCAGACCTCAGCGATGAGGCACTTCTCGGTGACATCGAAGCTGCACTGGTTGAGCACGAGGTAGATGGCCTTCATCTTCTGGACCTGGACCTGCCAGGTAGGCAGCGCCAGCACCACCTTGTCCAGCACCTGCGCCAGGTACTGCTCCGTCTCCTCCAGCACCTACAGGTGCCCCGCATGGGTCAGGGATGGGGGGGTCCCACCACAGTACCCCTGGTACCCACCCCGGTGCCCAGCTCACCACGCTGAGGTCCTGGATCTGGCTCTGCAGCCCACTCATGGTGTCCATGCGGCTGGCTTCACTCTCCGGGTAGGGATACACGTGGCAGTGGAAGCTGGGACAGAGGGACACCAACGGGTTGGGAGGGGGGGGACGACCAGCACGGCCCCATTGTGTGGGGGTCCATGGGGCTAAATAAACCCGTGTGTGACCGGACGCTGCCTCACCAGTCTGAGATCTTGCGGATCTTCTGCCCGATCTGCTCACCCCAGTAGGAGATGAGGAAGATGACCCAGGTGATGCTCTCGCCCTGGGGACAGCACAGTCCCGGTCACCCCGGCCCGTGCCAGCCCCCGGCACCCGGGGTGTCCCTGTTCTCGCCCCCCAAATCACCGTGGCCGGGTCCTCCATGGGCTCGGGCATCTCCACGAAGGTGACCACCAGGTACCCGCGGCACGCGCGCCACAGCAGCCGCTCGAAGGCGCTCACCCGCCACGGGTGGATGACGCCGGTCACGAAGCTGCGGGGACACGGGGAGGGTTGGGGTGGGCACGGCTCTGCTGCGGCTCCTGCCCCGTGCTCAGGATCCTGCCCCATCGCCCGTCTGCAACCCTGACCCTACAGCTTTCCAATTACCCCATTGCTAAGCCATTGCCCCATGGCTCATCTCCAACCCTTACCCTACAGCCATACCCACTGCCCCATGGCTCATCTCCAACCCTTACCCTACAGCCATACCCATTGCCCCATGGCTCATCTCCAACCCTTACCCTACAGCCATACCCATTGCCCCATGGCCCATCTCCACCCCTTACCCTACAGCCATACCCATTGCCCCATGGCTCATCTCCAACCCTTACCCTACAGCCATACCCATTGCCCCATGGCCCATCTCCAACCCTTACCCTACAGCCATACCCATTGCCCCATGGCCCATCTCCAACCCTTACCCTACAGCCATACCCATTGCCCCATGGCCCATCTCCACCCCTGACCCTACAGCCATACCCACTGCCCCATGGCTCATCTCCAACCCTTACCCTACAGACATACCCATTGCCCCATGGCTCATCACCAGCCCTTACCCTACAGCCATACCCATTCCCCCATGGCCCATCTCCAACCCTTACCCTGCAGCCATACCCATTGCCCCATGGCCCATCTTACCTACCCTACAGCCATCTTACCCTACAGGTGCCATGCACCGAGGGGCCATACCCAGCCCCATGGGCTCATGCTCCGAGAACCCTTACCCTACAGCCATACCGACTGCCCATGGCTGCATCTGCGGTACCGTACAGCCATGGGCACCATGGAGCTCTCCAACCCACCCTACAGCCATACCCATTGCCCCATGGCTCATCTCCCAACCCACAGCCATACCCAGGTGCCCCATGGCACCCACCAGGACCCCCAGACCCTACCATACCCAATGCCCCATGGCCCATCAGCAACCCCCCACAGCCATACCCATTGCCCCATGGCTCATCTCCAACCCTTACCCTACAGCCATACCCATTGCCCCATGGCTCATCTCCCACCCTTACCCTACAGCCATACCTATTGCCCCATGGCTCATCTCCAACCCTTACCCTCATCTCCCACCCTTACCCTACAGCCATACCCATTGCCCCATGGCCCATCTCCAACCCTTACCCTACAGCCATACCCATTGCCCCATGGCCCATCACCAACCCTTACCCTACAGCCATACCCATTGCCCCATGGCCCATCACCAACCCTTACCCTACAGCCATACCCACTGCCCCATGGCTCATCTCCAACCCTTACCCTACAGCCATACCCACTGCCCCATGGCTCATCACCAACCCTTACCCTACAGCCATACCCATTGCCCCACCCCCAACACCCCCAGCCATACCCCCCCATGAACCTTACCCCCCAGGTGCTGGTGCACCCCAGGATGGGCCCAGCCCACACCCCCATGAGCCCAGGGCTGCCTGTGGTGATGGGCACCAGGGAGCTGAGCCCGTGGGGCAGGGGGAGAGAGACCCAACACAGCACCCCCAGGTCCTTCCCAGCACCCACCAGGACCCCCAGAACCCCCTAGGACACCCTCAGCACCCCACAGCAACCCCCAGGACACCCCAGCACTTGCAGACACCCCAGGACCCCCCAGGACTCTGCAGTACCCCCAGGACCCACCTCAGCGTCCCCCAGCACCCCGAGGTTCCCCTAAGCAACACCCAGCACCTCCAGGACCACCCCAAGACCCCCAGAACACCCTCAGCATCCCCCAGCACCCCCCATGACCCCGCATGCCCCCCAGCACCCCCCATGACCCCACCACTCACCACGACCCCCAACACCCCCATGACCTCAATCCCCCCAGCACTCCCCATTACCCCGCAGCCCCCCATGACCCCACATCACCCCAGCCCCCCTCATAACCCTGCACCCCCCCAGTACCCCCCAGCATTCCCCATGACCCCGCAGCCCCCCAGCATCCCCCATGACCCCACATCCCCCAGCCCCCCATGACCCTGCACCCCCCCATGACCCTGCATCCCCCCCAGCCCCTCCATGACTCTGCACCCCCCATGACCCCGCACCCCCTCCACAACCCCGCACTCCCCCCAGTAGCACCCCCAGCAACCCCATGACCCCGCCCCCCTCCATGACCCCACAACTCCCCAGCACCCCCCATGAACCCGCACCCCCCAGCCCCTCCATGACCCCGCACCCCCCCATGACCCCCATCCCCCCAGCATCCCCCCAGCACCCCGCAGCATCCCCCATAACCCCGCATCCCCCCATGACCCTGCACACCCCCAGCCCCCCAGCCCCTCCATGACCCTGCACACCCCCATGACCCCGCAGCCCCCCCGCAGCACCCCTCAGCATCCCCCCAGCACCCCTCAGCACCCCCCATGACCCCGCACCCCCTCCATAACCCCGCACCCCCCAGCACCCCCATGACCCCGCACCCCCACATGACCCCGCACCCCCCCCAGCAACCCCCAGCACCCCTCAGCACCCCCCATGACCCCGCACCCCCCAGCCCCTCCATGACCCCCCAGCCCCATGACCCCGCACGCCCCCCCAGCATCCCCCCAGCACCCTGCAGCAACCCCCATGACCCCGCACCCCCCCATGACCCCGCACCCCCCCCCAGCATCCCCCCACCACCCCTCAGCACCCCCCATGACCCCGCACCCCCTCCATAACCCCGCACCCCCCAGGCCCCCCATGACCCCGCACCCCCCCCAGCACCCCTCAGCACCCCCCATGACTCCCCCATGACCCCGCACCCCCCAGCCCCTCCATGACCCC